CTCGACGCGAACATTTGAGGGAGGCACTCCATCGCTACTGTGAAGAACCCAGAATTAAACAAAGGGGAGAATCCAGATCATTCTCCTCTCTTTTGTAATCGGAATTCAAATTGTAATTAAGATTGAGAGAATACAAATTAATTTTTCTTTCATTTTACTTACTTCAAATTTTCCACAAACAGTAATGCTATAATTTGTAAGTTCTTGTTTGTTTCAAACTCAAATTGTAGCATTACAAATTTTAGAATTTAAAATCCATAGTTATAACAAACAAATTTTAGGATTACCAAAATAATAATTGGTGAATATAAGAACCTTTGGTGAGCTTACCTCCCACAAAAAAATAAACAAAATTGTATTCAATTGGGGTAAGCATACCCATTCAAACCCACAACAATCAAGCAAACTCACAAGCTCAGATTGGAATTAAAACCCACAACAAACTAAGGCTACAAGCAAGCCATCAAAGAATGCTCGCACCTGAAACAAAAAATGAAACAAACCAAACAAGTAACGATACTTTTCAGGCTCATATAACCAGCAAAAAAAGAAACAAACCATCAAAGAATAATCGCACCTGAAATCAAAGTATGCAAGAATGAAATATGCTGCAAGCAAGCTCATATAACCATACAAGTATGCAAACAAACTCATATAACTAGAATTAGGTAGCCGCAAGTAAGCTCAGACTAGCTACAAAAAATAAAACAAAATATGTCCACATACAAGCGAGTTGGACCGACGTATACAAGCAGCTCAGATTGGGCTTCAAACCCACAACACACCAACAAGTAACCATACTTTTTAGGCTCATATAACCAGCAATGTAAGCAGCCACAAGTAAGCTCAGAGCAGCTGCAAAAACTGAAACAAAAACCTCCTAAATTCAAAGAAAGCAGCTCATATAACCAAGGCTGCAAGCAATCAGCCGCAAACAAGCAAGATGGACTCAAGTTCAGGCTGCTTTTGTATGCAAGACACGAAGCAAACAAGCAAGCCATCAAAGCATACAAGAATGAGTCTCACCTACATGCAAGCCATCAAAGTATACACACAAGCTCGGTGCTCAAATAATCAAGACTACAAGCAAGCAGGCACAAACAAAAAGCAAGCCATATTACCAACAACTCATATAACCAAGGGTACAAGCAAGCAGCCGCAAACAAGCAAGATGGACCCATCATCATAGCTGCAAATCCTTACATGACCAATCATCATGCTCCCATCAAAAATATGCTCAGTAACAAGCTCACAAGCAACTATTAGAAAACAAACTGATTTTGAAACAAACTGAATCTAAAACCTGAATCTGAAACAACCTGAATCTAAAATAAATTGAGTGTTGAAACAATCTGAAACAAGCCCACAAGAAACCATTAGAAAATAAACTGAATTTGAAACAAACATGCTCAGTAACAAGCTCACAAGCGACCATTGAAACAAACTGAATCTGAAACAACCAAGCGCACAAGCCATCAAAAACATGCTCAGTAACAAAGCTATAACTCAAATAATCAAGGCTCAGACAAGCAACCATTAGAAAACTCATAATAGGACCAAGGTAGGGGCTCAGATATAGATATTAAAATTGAATACATGGATTGCCTCATCTGAAAATGATGTTGCAATGTAGGTTACAATCACATGAATGGATTGTCTCTCCTAACATTGTAAATACAATGTTAGGTTGCATTCTCTTCCTAGATTGCCCTACCTAAACATAGCAAAATATTGTAGATTGCATTCTTATGATATGACCATCATCATTGCCTAATTTGAATAATACAAAATAGCCATACCAATACATATCGTGCAATGTAGATTGCTATCAAGTATCATATCCATCCATATTTATATAAACCTGCAAAAGAACCCAAGCTCATATTCAGTTTATACAAAATATGACCATCAAGTATCATTTTCTAACGGTTGCTTGTGATCTTGTTTCAGATTGCTTCAGATTCAATTTATTTCAGATTCAGTTTGTTTCATACCAGTTGTAAAAAATGAAACGAAACATGTCCATACACAAGCAAGTTGGACCCAAGAACAGCTCAGATTGGACTTAAAACCCATAACAAACCAAGGCTACCAGCAAGCTATATTACCAGCAAGTAACCAGTCTACAAACAAGCTCCTATAACCAGCAAGTAAGCAACCACAAGTAAACTCAGTCCAGCTACAAAAAATGAAACAAAACCCTCCTGCTATTAAAGCAAGCAACTCATATAACCAAGGCTGCAAGCAAGCAGCCGCAAATAAGAAAGATGGACCCAAGAACATAAGCAACAACACCCTCATGTAAGCTCAGGCCAGCTGCAAAAATTAAAACAAAACATTCCTACTACTTAATAGCAGCTCATATAACCAAGGCCGCAAGCAAGCAGCCACAAACAAGCAAGTTGGACATATGCAAAAATTATTAACGATATCGTCATAGCCGCAAATCCATATGTGACCAATCATCATAGCCGCCATAAAAAACATGCTCAGTAACAAGCTCACAAGCAACCATTAGAAAACAAACTGAATCTGAAACAAATTGAATCTAAAACAACCTGAATCTGAAACAAATTGAATCTAAAACAACCTGAATCTGAAACAAGCTCACAAGCAAATCGTAGAAAACAAACTGAATCTAAAACAAACATGCTCAGTAACAAGCTCACAAGAAACCATTGAAACAAACTGAATTTGAAACAACTAAGCTCACAAGCCATCAAAAATAATTTTGTCCCCAAATCCAAGCAATGGAACAAGATAAGATAAAATAATAGCCATGATGAACTTATCGGACCTTGCTACCTCTAATGAAAACATGCTCAAGTTGTGACACTTTTCCATCCTACAAAGTAACAAAAGTTTGAAAGTCTATAGATTATACAAAAAAACTAACATGACAAAAGCTCCAGAAGGGAAACACTATGATTGGTACGAAACAAAACAACCATAGCTATATAGCTACAAGGAGAGTTAACCAATGGTGTTCATAGACAAGGGGAGCAAGATTGAACGAAATGTTAAGATGGGTGGCAATAGAACAAATTTAAAAGACGAGATAACAAAATAGCAGAAATTTTGGAAAGGGCAATATATGTTCCAGGAGACCTAGAAACTCCAACAAGCATCAACATCTTTGTTCTATCAAAGTATACTCCTATTAGTGTATTAAATCTACAAACTCCCAAAGTGGAGCAATATTTTAGCCAATTACAAAATAGAATCACAGCTGATAAAATCAATTATAATCACTAAACTCTAACTTTACCTTCCCCTTCAAAAAGAGATCGCCACTCGTTTTCCTCCCAAGCCCAATCTTCTGCTCAAATTACACAATTCTCTCATTTCCATTGACCAACTCATGATCCAAATCAAAAATTAAAACAAAAGAACAAAACAAATTGATACCTTAGGATTCTCTCGAAGAGCAACCACCAGCGACGTGACGGGTGAAGTAAGGCCAAGCGAGATCATTGAAGCCATGAGATCTGAAGTCCTCAATCTAAAATTTCAAGAAACTTGAGGGATCAGACTGTAAAATCAACTAGAAACGGGATGAAACGATAAAATTAAAGGGAGAAAACGCACTCGATCATGCTCGCTCTGTAGAGCTTGCCGCTCTTGAGCTCCATCGTCACCACATGGCTCGCCGACTCGTGGAGGAGCTTCACCTGGATCCTTAGCCCCCTGCTCATCTCTCCTCTTTCTAGGGTTTTTTTTTGCCGAGTTCTAAAACCCTAGGTTTTGGTTGCCCCCCTCCCCCCGGC